AGTATATTATTATTTTTTAATAAATTAATCAGATAAAGTATATATACTTATTGAATAACTTTTCTTTTGAGCCGATAATCTCTCCTTACCCTAAAAAGGGAGGGTAAGATTTGTGTACATCTTATTTTTTTCATATTTATTTGTAAAATTATACTAAATATATTATCATTGACATATATAGTTTAAATGTACTGCAACAACAACGTATCATATGATAGAATATACAAAAATCTACCAATATAAAGAAGTTGTTTTGAATAAACTCGACATAAGAAAAAAAATATCAAAGCAGATCTATTTTCTTGTCATTCGTGGCTATCGTTTCCTCAATTCTTGCTATTCGCCTGATTTCTATTAATCCAGAATTTTGTATATACTTACCCTAGATATTTGTATACGATTTATGAAAAAATCATAATTAATAACCCTGTTTATATATTGGCAAGCGAAATATATAAACGAAATTCTAAAAAATTCTTAAATGTATAAATACAAAATTGATATATACTTACTATTTGTATATTCGCAAATGAAATATACAAATAAATAAAAATATACAAACCGCAGTCTCCATAGCAAACGAGAATCAGATTGATTTTCTTGATGAGTTGTGCTACTACATGAACATTAACTTCCAAAATTGGCATGGTACATAACCAAGAAAATTAGAGAATCCTAAAAGAAAATCATAGTCCCTCTTGTTTTATGGGAGTACCTCAATCCCAAGAGAATCATTTCTCTAATAATTATTTAATTCCTACTCTAATAATAGACCCCAAAAAGTCATTCAATTTTCAATTTAGTAATATTATAAATTTAATTTAAAAAAAATAAAAGTATGGGACCTACTTAGTGTATATTAAGAGAATATACACTATATATACGTCCAAATCTTGTCTTTTACTGTTGAGTAGTAAGTAGTAGTCTTCTCTTCTCTCCGCTTTTGCTTTACTTTCTGGTTACCCTTTTTTTACTCACTCTCTCTGTTTACTTCAACTCTCAGAAACAGATACAATTTTGTGATGACCCTTTTAAGGAATTGACTAAAACAAGAGGAAATTATGGAGTGGGAAAAACAGCAGCAGCAGCAGCCACCGGTGTCGGCGCCGCAGCAGACGGTGGAGGAATTGAACGGAGCAGTTAGTGGTGGGATGTTTGTGAAAGTGATGACGGATGAGCAAATGGAAGTTTTAAGGAAGCAAATCGCTGTTTATGCTACTATTTGTGAACAACTTGTTGATTTGCATAAATCCATGGCTTCACAACACGATCTTGCTGGTTCGTCTGTTTTTTTTTTCTCCTCTCTAATTATTGCTCTGTTTTTTTTAAAATTTATATTTGGTGTTGATATGTAATTGGACCTTTTTTTTCTGTTAATTTTATGAAAATATAGATCAATTTTTGTGTCTTTTTAGCTACCCATTTTACTGGTTTCTTCATCATCTTGTGTTTGGTGTTGTTCTTTGGTTGATTTTGTCTTTTTTTCCCTCTAGGAATTTTAGTTCAAAAACTTGAGAAAAAATAGAAAAAGTAAATCATTTCATAACTCTTACCTTTTTCTGTTATTTTGTAAATATAAATAAATTCAAATAGTTCTATTCAACTTAAATGTCTCAAAAATTCAAAGTTTTGTGTTTCCTTTTGGTATAGAATTTCATTGTATTGATTCCTTCTGATTTTCTAAGTTTTTGAACTATTTTACTTTTGGTATAGAATCTCATTTGATTCTTTATTTTTATTTCTTACTCTTCCCATCCAAATATAGTCCTCTAGGTTCTCTCCCACATATTCCTTTGAGAATCCTGTGAAACAATAGGCAGCCCGGTGTACCAAGTTTCCGCTATGTATGGGGTCTGGGGAAGGGAAGGACCGCTAGGGTCTATTGTACGCAACCTTACCATGTATTAGCTTGAACCCTTGACCTCCTGGTAACATGACAACAAATTTACTAGTTAGGCAAGGCTTCGGAGTCTTGTGAAAAAATGTAGTGGTGAAACTTGCCAGTAACATGGAAGCTGGAAATCTTTCAATCTATGACTGTATGCTGAAATCTTTAATTTGATTGCAATGATCAATGACAGATGGATCGCTTCAAAGGAAACCAAATATAAACTCCTCCTTTTGAGTGGTTCTTCAAATTTTATGTATATGATAAATTGCCATTTCCATGTTTTTTTCAAGATATGAGTATTTGTTTCAATCAACTTCAGAGTGAATAATTGTATTGTGGTATCTTGTGTTATTTGTATGGTTTGCTTTGGCGATGGGATCCTGCTACTGTTAACCATGATGCAAGAAGCTGGAGGATGATAGATTTCTCAGTTAGGCTTATTAATGGTCTTAATATGTTGTGTTTAACATCCATATATTCGACTTGCTGTGTTTGTAGTGATAGTACTTTCTGAATTTGAATTCATCTAACGTGAGCAAAATCTGTACCTGCTATCTCAGGAGCCAGGCTGGGAAATTTGTACTGCGATCCACTAGTGACATCCGCTGGCCATAAAATCACTGGTAGACAACGCTGGACTCCAACGCCTATGCAACTTCAGATTCTTGAGCGCATATTTGAACAAGGCAATGGAACTCCAACCAAACAGAAGATCAAAGATATAACTTCTGAATTATCTCAACATGGCCAAATTTCTGAAACAAATGTGTATAATTGGTTTCAAAATAGGCGTGCTCGATCAAAAAGGAAGCAACAGGTTGCAGCAACAAACACCACTGAATCAGAGGTGGAGACAGAGGTTGAGTCGCCCAATGAAAAGAAAACAAAGCCAGAGGATCTGCAGTCTTCTCACATGCCTACTTCAATGGCTGAAGATCTTGGCTATGAGAACCCTGACGTGAGCTCTGGCATGCATTCACTAGATCCACGAACCAGTAAACCCGAGCCTATGTTTCCATCAGACGGTAGTTCAAAACCTGCTGCAAGTTATGGCCAAATGTCCTTCTATGGAATGTCTAATCCAAGTATGTTTTTCTAGTTCCTATAAAATCATTTTGTTTTTACCACTGTTCTATCATATGCTCTAGTATTTAGATATAAATGAAGGTGCTCTTCTATCAAAATTCTAAATATAAGCTCCATAGCCAAAATTCAAAAGTGATACAGACACACTAGGTGATGGGAATTTCTGCATATAGGGAATCATAATGAATTATATGTAGTTTCTGCATTCATTCGATGTTTCACGAGGATATCAATAGCATTTGAAGACCTGCATTTTAAACTGCTATGTTTTAAACTTCTTTGTCAGAAAAACTTACTGTACCTTAAACTTCTCATGGAGTTAATGCATCACATTCACAATTGTCACCTACTCTAGCACAAAAGAATTTGTCTTCAACTAAAACTTATTCCAAACTCGAAGCACCTGTAACAACAATGAGAGAACAGGACTAACAAAATCCATCTTTGGCTAACACCTAGATCAAATGGAAGCTTGAGTTGTTATTCAGGATTCATATAGTCGATCCTAGGTAGCTGACCTATAATGGTGGTTAGTTCTGTTCTTAATCTTTTTGATGTGATAAAAATGGATATGCAGGAATGGACCAGCTAATGGGAAAGATGGAAGTGCCAGGGAGCTATCATCCATATCTACATGCAGATGACTACAACATGACCGGCTAACTACCAATTTGGAAACTAAGTTTCATGCGCATTTCAACAATTTAGAATGAGACTAGAAGCCCCAAAACTCTAGCCAGAGTTTTTGATCCTACTGTGCGTTAGCCACTGATTGATGATTATATTACAGAATGATTCTGTGTATGAAAAAAATGTACTTATGGACCACGCTTATAGGAACTATATAGTAAATAGTATTTTCGTTTTGATTTCTCCATTTGCTTTGTAATTTTTACTTTTGGAGTGAAGATTTTGTTAAAGCATAATGCAGGGTCGTGTTCTGAATTTCAAAGAAATGTTTTTTAAGTGGTTCTCACTGTGCAACGCGTTTTATGCAATTTTATTTATTTTTTTAAGCACATTATAGGAGCTTTTTCACTTTTCACAATAAAAAAAAAAAGAAAAAAATTGTTGACTTCTGTCTTCTTGGTCCCCTTTTCCTATATCTTACCGACAAATGATCATACAAGAGAGGAAATTGAACATATACACAATTTATTCTTTTAACAGAAACCAAAGGAAAAATTGGAAGGCAAATAGTCATCTTCTAAGTCTTGTAAGCAAAGTTAGTGAATGTTGTGCTAGTATTTTGGTTTAAAGTAAGAAGTGTATTAGTGAAAAATACAGCAGCAAATATCTGATGAATTAGTCAAAGTATACCAAACTAGCCTAACACCATCTTTTTTTTTATAAAGAAAAAGGAACACTCACGAGGAGTTTCAGCCTTTAATGACATAATCATGCCATAAGAATTCCCAAGGATTTGACTTTTGATTAATAATAATGAAAGTAAGAAAATCTTTTAGATCAATTTTTTAGTTTCCTGTAATTATTCTTCCTCTGCTTGTTGGCATTTGAAAATAGGAAAAGATTTCAAGTGATGAGTTGTAATCCATACCACATGCTTTGCATAGAGCAATTCACATTTTCCATCTTACTGTGTCTAATTTGATTCTAGGAATTGCATTCCCTAGTCAAGACTTTAGCCCCCTCTGGAGACAACTTCATACTATTTTGGGATACAAAATGTCATAGGTTCAAATACAAAATTTCATCAAATGTGTACACTACATTTAAAGTTAAAGAGTATAATGCATGAATCTCTAATCATATCATAGAGAATTGATTTTACATTCTCCATCCTTGTCATTTTCTATCAGGTGTCGCTAGACACTTTAGATCGAAGCATGGATAATGAATAATCACGAAGCGATTAATACGTGTTAAGCATGTTGCTAACGACAATTTATTTTCAAGTAATAAAGGGATCAGTTTCATACAACTCTTCTGCAGCTTGAATTGTGGGAGCATAGCTGGGTTGGGCAGTGGCTCCACAGTGACAGTGACTGGGGTAAAGAGGTACTAGAACAAAAATGTAAATGGAAGTTCCATATCTTCAGGAGATTTATAGTACCATTGTTCCAATATCACTTCATATTGTCTAGCAAAATGAGAAGGTTAGAATGGGATATACAAATTTAACTATGACAACAATTGAATGATGTTACAATCAAATAACCTATTTCACTATCGTAACATTTCTTTACAGTCTATTCAGAGTGAGTTACTATGGCTATACATGGAAAGGTATACTAACGAGAGATTTTTGACACTAGGATACGGCTGATCTTAGTCGCTTTGCTGCACGCTCTACGTTGATTGCATGCCGATGTAACCCATGCCATGCCTCGGAGGAACCCTTACTCCACGAACCTAACTTAGCAATCTGCTCATGCAGAGCACCCAAGTTGACAAGAGGTACAGTAGTCGGCCGCCCATGAGCACACTACCAAATGAAAAGATATTACAGTCATTAATAATATGGAATTCCTCCTGTAAACATACCACCAAATGCAGTTCTAATACAGATATTTCCTGAAATGCAATTTTCCACTCACTTGAAAACACAATGAAGTCTGCTTCAACTCCTCAACAATGAGAGAACACTCCGAAGGCAACAATGCATCTCCAAACATAATTGCACCTACAAAAATAAGTAAATAAATATATAGAATGGCAACATCAGGAATCAATTCATCAATTTTGCTTCACCCCCAGAATTAGTTGGCCTGCTATGTCGATCCTCATTCCTCTGTATCTGTTCCACTATATCCATATCAGAGTAATTGTTCCAACACAAATGAAAACAAAGATATCAGAAGTAAAGAGAAATATCTCAAATCGAAGTGATTCTAATTCCCTGTTCTTTCTCTTTTTCTTATGTGGGGGTGGGTGGAGGTGGGAGAGCCATCAAGGTAGCTCCAAAGTCATAAATTAAATATTAACTTACTCCTGCAAGCCTTGTTATTCAGGACCCGATTCACTGATGGGGGTACTATTGATGATCCATCTGTGTCAGCAAGCTGTAAGTTGCAAGCGAATACATTATTTAGAGAACATGACACAGCATTTAAGCAAGAACAGAAGCAAGATTCCACATGAGAACGATTAGAGTTAATTAAATGAAGGAGTGAAATATGAGAGCTAGCTAGTGTCAATGGACTAACCTGTTGAAGAAATTCTAACAGATCCACATCTGTTAGATTAACGCCCAGAATACAAGGAACCTGTAGTATCAAGAAAACAACCATTTTCTTATGAAACACGTGCAAACGTATCTTGTTAGCTAGTGCAGTATTCCCTTAAACACATGTAAACCTCTAGCATTGTCTTGTTACTGATGGTATTAGAACAAAAAAGATATTCCCTTTTAGAAGTTACAATTCATATTTCACTAGCTATAATCAACCCAATTAAAACATAAAATGAACCTTAAGAGACAATGCGCACAAATGACACGTGAAAGCCTAAACCCAAAAATCCTTCTTGCTGTAAACAAGATGGAACATAGGACTGATATAAACTGTTGTATTCATACCTCAGAATGGAATGACTAGACTGAGAAGAAGTGCTCGTCATGCTTTGTTTTCCACAATTAGACAGGCATATATACTTCAGAGGGAGGAATAGGAATGCTAAAGTTAATAAGCTATAAAGTGAAGTAAAAGGTTCGAGAGTGTACGTGTGCAGTCTCTCACAGCCCTTGTGTATTTACACTATACAACTTAGCTTTATTCCCAATAATTCCTAATCCCAATTCTTATTTCCTAATAGTTGATGTCACTTCCTAATCCTATATTAACAACAAGAATCAATACTATATTATCTTTTCCCTTCCAAGACTGATTTGCAAATGGTCTACATTTACTTAAACTTTTTGAATGTATAATATGACAGAGACAAGTACTAGAGAATGTTACCGCAAGAAGTGTGACAGATTTTGGCTGCTTGTGAATCAGATTCAAGTTCCTGCTTTAACCAAAACATATAACTTCATGCTAGAGTTAGGTTCAACCTTAATGAATGTTGCAAATTTGAATTTCTGGTAAATGGTAATTTTATCAAGTTCCATAGACTGGTTGTAAGAAAATCTAAACAAAGATCCGTAACTTACCTGGTAAATGATTTTGAAGCTTGAGAATGAATGTTGCAGATCCAACCCCAGTTTTGAATTTGGTCAGCATAGTTGTGTAATAATTGATAACCAATTTCAGGCATGACCTGCAAAAGCATGGTCAAAGACTCAAAATCAATGTTACTGATTATAAAGAGTTTCAAGAGTTCCCCACAATCCGAGGGGCACAAGGCAAAGATAAACTCTAATTCACATAAGATGACCATAAACATACCAATTCTTGCTCGGAATCAAGATAGGTTGTTGACCTCTTTTGTCCAGATAGAACCTGATAATTCACTAATTACCAACTCCAAATTGAAATGACACATCAATGAGTTTTTAGACAATCATTACCTTCTCACGCAGTTCTTCCAAACGAATTCGCTCGTCTGCAGCATGCTGTAGAACATGACAATGTGTAATGCTCAATGAAGATAAATGCTAGAATCAAACAAAAGATCATAATATCTTGACCATGTAAAAAGGAACGGACATTTATTTTGACATGGGCCACAGCTTCTACATAAGAATATACTCAACCTGACGGTCAGAAAGTGATGAAACAAAAGATAAAGCACCCTATATCACTCTCCTTTTCTTCAGTACTATCACAAAATTGCAATACAAAAGAGTACGACATTACATGGTTAAAGTATTAGTCATGCAGGGAATGTTTATGTGGTAATAATAATGTAAAAACTGTTATGCGGTAAATAATAATGTCGCGATTCTTATGCAGTGAATAATAAACGAGTGATGCTATACAGGGACTATCTACTTTATAGAGGGATATTTTCCCTGTAAATACTCATATCCGTGCATTGTTGACATATGTTCTCTTAATAATGCATGGTTAAATACCGCCAACCAAACGCTGCATTAGTTATGTCGAGCTCACTTTTTTATCATGCGGATAACTGAGTGATACATGGTTATGTAGATATTACTTTTACTTAAATGGCCAACAACTATTAAACTATTTATGCAGAAATTTATGCTGAGATTAATATCTGCTAATGAGTCCAACCAAACGATCCCTAAAAGAAATGATCTTTTAAAGTAAATGCATTATAAGGGAATTCATGAGAAATCAAGAAAGACCATAATGGACCTGATCAATTATAGCAAGTGTTGTGCCACCCACAATCGGAATAAACTTCTTATCAACCTGTTGGAGAACTTTGGCACCCCCCAGGCAGTTTTTATCAATGGTATCAGGAACCAATGAATCACCAACAAAATGCAATATGCCAGAAGTGACATTGAGTATAGTATCCTGATTCTTAAAACTCTCTGTTCCAGTACCACTCTGCATCTCATATTGGAAAAGGAAATCCATCATCTTAACAAAACAGAGAAGAAGTCACAAAAACATTTGAGATATAGCTTAAGTACTCAACTGTAATCTCTGGACAGAAGCCCCTCCATTTTGTCCCAGAATCTAAGATACTTTGAGTTTCTTTTGTTGGTGCAAATTCTGAAGATTCGAATAAAAATGTCAGGCATGACAATTCTATCACAAGATCAGCACATAAGCAATATGGAATTTGAAAGAGACTATGTGGCCTAGGACACTGAGAAAGAGATGTAATCTCTAATGCTTTCATGATTAATAAGAATGCAGTCTAAGGTAATCTTGAAAAGTAGGTGAAAGAAATGAAGCTAATTAACTGAAACATGCACTACAAAAATTAAGCTCTTATTCAATACAGGAACTGTTAAGAGTGGGGGGTTAGAGTCCTGCATTGGTTGGAGAATGGATTGGTGGTCTATATGGACTTGGGAAATCCCCCCTCATGAGCTGACTTTTGAGGTTGTGATAGGCCCAAGGGCCATACCTTTACAGGAATAAATGGCAGGAACGGTTTACCTTCTTTTGACTCCCCATAGCGTGTACTTATGCACTCCCCTTGAGTTTGTAATCTGCTGTTCCAGATGTTAACAAGTTTCATTTTAACACTTAGCCTGAAGAGAGAAACATAAGGTTGTGTGAGTTTCTAACATATTTGATTGAGATAATATCAGAAAGAGGCCTAAACCTCACTTAAAAAATTGATATCATACCTTTCATCAGAGTAAACACCATCACCACAACTTGGGGTGGAAGATTGATCACATAGATGGGATGACTGCTGTGGAAGCTCCGAGCAGATAGCTTCTGTAGAATCCCCCAGTCTTCTTACAGCTCTAGTTTCTGCATGATGGACAAGAACATTAATTAGTTGCACAAATTTTCTGTCATCATTGATTATTAAAACAAACACTCAAGGACAAATTACCTGGCATGAGTGGCACATCATGAACAGTCTTAATATTGTTATTTCCTGCTGCCGTTCTTGAAGATTCACTCGTGGCAAAGAACTTCTTCTTGCCTTGGTAAAATGGAGGAGCTGAATGGCTTCTTCTACTCTTCTTCTTCCTTATAAGCTCATCTGTTTTACCTCGATTCCCAGCATCATTCCATTTATGCGAGTTCCCATCCACCCAAGAGGAGATCATAGCTCGTGGTGTCAAACAATTAATAAGATCTTCTTCACCATGAGAATGTATATGTGACAAATCATCTCCGTCATAATAGAATTCAGAAGGACCTGAACTATAAATGTCCCACGGATCAAGTCCCCCTATACAGCCCAAATCCTCTTTAGGACAAGCATAAAAATCGAGATCAAACTTTGCAGGATTTGGAAACAAGCAGTCCTCTTTTCCCAAATTATTTATGGCCGGAACCAAGAGATTACGTTCCATGTTTTCAAAATTATACGTGACACCAATTTCATGTTTAACAGAAGTTTCAATCCCATTTTCAGCGATGTAAGGATTAACATCTAGAAACCTGCTCCCGAGCAAAGGATCTGATGGCAGAGGAGACAGTTCTGGACTAAAAGATGGTAGGCCAGAACGATAGTTTTCAGTCTGTTTAAAGAAGTGCATAAGATGATCATCTTCATCTAGAATGTCCTTGGTTAAAGAAAAATTTTCTGAATCACCTGAAATTTTTTTTGGCCGCTGCAATGCATTGCTCTGAGTTTTGCACCTGGAGAACTTCTCAAAATATATTTCCTTGCCTCTAGGAGACCTTTGATGTAAGACCCGGTTAACATCATCAACAACTTCAAATTCAACACTATAATCATCTTCAAGGCGATTTTGTTTAGTTCTGCAGTCACTTTTTTCAAACTTAATATCTTCATCACTATCAAAAGATGTTCCATCATGTATCAGGCTTCTGTGCAAAGAACAGTTTCGCATAAATGGTTTCCTTCTCTCATGCGTCATATTTGAATTGTCAATAAGTTCAAGAGACTCCCTAAATGAGGCATCCTCTGTTGATTTGCCAGCTACAATTGTTTGAGACCCATTCTCCCATCCTGAACCTAACAGGCAGTCTGATTTATAACTGGAGGTAGCTGAAGTATTGAATTTGTTATCCAGGAAATACTCCTCTGTAGGTAAAACATTAGATGAAAGGGGTTGCACAGAGCATCTGGATTTCCAGTTTACACCAACTGTGCAATGAGCAAGAGATCCATCAATTGACCGACTTGAACTTTCAATCTGAGAGAGAAATCCGGACCCAGGATCAGGTTTCTCAGAAGCACTTTCCCACAGAGTATTCTGTGGAGATTGAATATCTCTCCTGACAGTGCACTCTCCGGTCAGTTTCTTTGGCAGCGGGGAAAGAAGGTCAAGTGTACCTTTGCAACTCTGAGCCCTGCACCTCTTTTTCCTGATCTCAATATTCATAGGTATATCTGGAAAGAGGAGCAGGGAATGGGATAGCAATAGATGAGGATACTTCTACAGCTATATTCTTATCTAGGTTTCCCAAAAGTAGTTTAAGAGAAAAGAAACAGATAAAACTAATACGATGGCATAATGCTGAAATGCTTTGCACCATCTGACGCACAAATAACTCTCTCTTCCACTAAAACCAACCTTCCACAATTCCCCTCTCCCTTCTCCACTTTTCTTTTAGGGGGAGCAGGTGAGGGGCTACAGCCTATGGGAAAGGGACTGTGAAGTGGACAAAGCCACATGTACAAATAATATCAGATACAATGAATACTAAGTGATGTTGCATAAAAATCTCACCAGCAGAGTTACTTTCAGTCCAGAGATTCGCAACAGTATCCCCAATAAAGAGAAGGACAGGGCCCCAATCCTACAAGTAACATTAAGAACCAATTAGTTACCATAAGAGATTCTTGTAAAACACATCAAAATAGCTTAATGAGATAAACACAATCAGTATCAATGGTGCCAACAAAGGGAGATTAACACAATCAGTATGCAGATTAACACAATCAGTATCATGGTGCCATCAGTGAGATTAATACAATCAGTTAAATGCTGCACATCGTTTCAGGCAATTTGATTGCACATCTAACATGGAACAAAAATGAACAAGTGACATGCTCTAATAGACAAACAAGAACCACACCTCGCCTCTCCCCCCTGTCCCCTTTTTCTTTTCTTTTTGTGGTGATAAGTCAAATCACTCCTGTTAACCTACATATGGTACACAGAAGGATATCATACTCCTCCGTTGACTCAAGACAATCTCAGTAGGAAAGACTTCCAATTAGTAAACAGGTGCTATCTATGTTTGGAAAAGAGGGGAACTGTAAACCATTTGTTATTGCACTGCACAGTAGCCACAGATCTTTGGAGCATGTTCTTCTGTATTTTAGGTTTAAAATGAATCATGCCACGGACCATAAAAGAGGCACATCTGAAGGAGCTTGTGCAGAGTTGATAAAGCCATTAAAAGGATTTGGAGGACGATCCCTGCTGCTATCTTCTGATCCATATGGAATGAGAGGAATAGGAGGTGTTTTGATGGAATCTCAAAACACCTCCTGTTTTGTATGGCTATTAGCAAGCGGACACTTGATAATCTAATGAAGAGGGGAATTCCAATGTGTTCAAAATGTTTTTTGTGTAAGGAGACTGCTGAGACAGTCAACCACTTAATTCTACATTGCAAGTTCACAGGCAGGTTATGGAGTATTATCTTTAACCTTAAAAGCCTAACATGTGTCATGCCAGGCAAGGTTTCTGAAGTTCTGAGAAGCTGGGATGAAGTAGGAGTAATAGCTAATAATAGGTGTAGGTGGAAACTCATCCCAGCATGCATCAAGCAAAAATAAGAAAGTCTGTCAATTCCTCAGTGCCTATTCTAGCTTTCCCTTAATCCTCTCATTCTAATTAATGATTTATTTATTAGAACGTTAGAGTAATTTAAAGTGTTCAAATGGAGCAGGTTCCTCCTAAGATATGGATTGTATCTCATACAAGTTAGACCGTACTGACAGGCAACCTAAGCCAATACTGGCAACTAGCATTACTCCTCTCCGACAATCCCCCCTCCAAAGACAGGCACCGTTTACAATCGGTTCCCTTCCCTATTCAGTATCACATCTCTTTTCGGAGAGAAGTGAGAACATGCCTCTTTTTGGCAACTGCTCAAGAAGACCTCCTTCTAATGATAGCTCCAGCGGTATCATGACTCTCTTCAACAACCATTCTAATAGAGTCACGCCCCTTTCATATAACTTTCTGGCAGAGTCATGACTCCTTTCATGATGATCGTCTGGTCGTGTCAAGACTCTTTTCAGATGATTGTCTGGTCGTGTCAAGCCTCTTTATGAGGAATTATCAGTCTTACCTAACACATTGTAATATGAAATACCATACCCCAATCAGTAAAACAAATATGTATGACATGTCCTTGTTAACATCGGCCTGCTTGGTTTTGCAGCCACAAGAAGCCAGATAACTTTGTTCTCCATTAGCTACTGTGATGCAAGGACCTTGCCGGGTCAGGGTGTCCTTTTTAATACTTTGAATCTCTATAGGATTAGTGATAAATAGTGATGATTAGCCAGTTTAACCTATTAAGTTTACCCATATTGAAGTTCCAAAAAATGATTAGGCATTTTGAAATATATATATATATTTTTTAAAAACAACCTAAACCAATTCTCACAAAACAAACACCAACACAAACTCAATTCTTATAAAATAAATCCAAAGCCTCACATTTGTTTCCCAACCCCAAAACAAACTAAACCATAAATCACAACAAAAAATTTCACCTTAAATTCCACAGAGGTCTTTGAAGGCTCCAAAGTAAAATCATAAAAAGATCTTGGACAGTTTAGGTTCAGCATAAACAGAGGATATATCTGAGATCTACTTCGCTTCTCAATGTCAGACGCACTGCCAAAACTCATAGCTGCGTTATTAAGTAATTTATGTATTGGTCCTTTGGAAACAAATCTTGAATTGATATCTGCATTACGGAGGTCAAGGAAAACAAAAACACCGTAAAAACAGGCAACTGATATAGAAAATGTTAACCAAAGATTAGTTTTCCGTTTTTCTTTGGTCAGGAAAATATACTGAAATAAGTGGATACAGAAATATTGAAGGACCTGCAAATTGAACAGTGGTTGTTAGGGAAACAGAGTGTAGAAAAGATAACATATCACATCTCTTATTCATCAATTTGGGCCTGTATACCTTCACTGTGTAAACATCAGGACCTGAAATGTATCCTGAGAGCTTGAATGAACCATCACTTGCATTCAATTTGTTAAGGGAACTCAGATGAATTCCAAACTCACTGGACAATAGCGGCAGTGGAGAAGGAGAAGCACGTGTGCAAAGCAGGTCATCCTCACTGCATGCAAATGAACAAAATCTAAGAAACCAGACAGAAAATATCCTTAAGTTAGCTGATATAACAAAGACAGACCTTTCAATATCAACAATTTTGAAGGAGACATTGGGATGCACAAGGGCGATTCTTAGCAGAGACTCTTTCAGAGCATGCAACACCTTCTTTGGGCTTCCGGATTATATATGCAAACCAAAAAATCAATCAGGTCAGTGTACAGCTTTAAAAGTAAAGTATGTAATCATTATTTTTCATTTGTTTGAATTGTGAGAAAACTAGAAGTACTTGGAGTGCATTTGCTTCCTTCGAACTGGTTGGTTGTAAAATACATCCCGAACAATGACTGCAAGGAGAGAAATCCCAACAAATTTCCTTATTGGCATACAACAGTCAACTTTTGTATCAGGTATGCTTATACAAAATTACCTGTTGTACCAACATCTTGTCTACATTCATCAATTCCAAGGTACAAACACTTGCCGTCCTGTAAACATTGGCAAGAACAAAGACCAAATTAGTAGTTTTATACCTATACTATAGGATACTACCAACTAAATCTTAAAAGAATCTTACCTTTAAAACCTTACGATATCCATTTGGCCTCCCATGAGTTTTAGTAACAATTTCCAATAAAGAAACGTCAGAAATAGAGCTCAGAGCCTCTCCTTTAAAGCCAAAGCTTGCTGGGAAAGCATGCATATCATCTGAATGGCTGTATTTTGACGTCGCTGGTGTACATATATGGTGAATGCTCTAGAGTTACAACTACTAGACAGCAACTCGAATAAATACAAACAGAACCATCCTACATTTCTAATTCAGACTCAAATACAGTTGGCTCTAATTTTAACAAATGCAACCTAAAACTATCCTGCATTCAGCTACCAGAAAAGGGGGTTTAGGTGAGGGGCAATGTTAATTGAATCACTAGGTCATTGTTTGAGTTACCTGGGCAGATTTGATGGCCGTTGAAATGGCCAGAAAAAAATGAAGCATGACAGAAGATGAAAGAAACAGGCACACATACTGTCTCCATAAGCTAGGCTTAAAGTACCTAAGCACCAATATGTATGTTCTGGTTCAATTTCAGCAAGAATAAATAATCAAAACATCTGTACATACAGTAGTGATCAACAAAAATATATTTCATGTCTCTCTCTCTCCCCCCATCCCTCAAGCTACCCATTTTCTTTTGGGGAGACAGTACAGGTAAAGAAAGTATTTTATTGCAAATGAAGAACCAGAAAAGTAATGTACATGAACAACTTACAATACAAGCAAAACCAAAATGTAAGCATCAATATTTGGTGTTGTGTACAGCCATACAAGTTTTCCCATTTACAAGTAAAACCACATAGCAATAAATAAAAGAACATCGGTAAAAAGATACTAATGAACAGAAACCGTCAAACAGCCTATCAACTGAGCAATGCTGCAAGGCATGCAATCCTATAGACTACAACAATCATTCCAAGTTATGAACATCATAGTTGTGAGGCAAAAGAAATTATGTACAGGAGCATCACTGCAATAGAAAAGATGATGTCAGTCCAACATTTTGCAAAAAGATTACCATATTTTTCTCCCATCAGCACCAGTCCATCTCGTGAAACACCAGATCCTTCAAGAGGAAGTACAACTTCAGATGATGAAATAAATAATAAATTGAGCAGAAGTTTCTTCACATCAAAATGCATTAGATCAATGTCAAAGAAACTTTAACTTACCATTGTCATCCACCTTAACGTAGCAGGTTCCAATGCCTATAGCAACAGATACCTGGTGGAAACTGGGTAAGGTTCAACTTAGGAGTACACTACTTATTAGAATAACAAACATAAAAAGAACAGCTCTATAAGGAAGCAAATCTCATGGTAAAAAGAAATAGAGCTGTTATATATTGGAAAAAAAATTATGATACCAGAATGGAACATCATACTAAGAGGACAAAATGTACATCAATTTTCATATAAAGCAAATGCCCTCAATATCAGAAGTAGCAAACGAAGGAACATAAGAATTCATTGAAGAGTTTGAGCAAATAGTCTAAGCAATTAAATTGCATAATAGCACAACTTTCTATATTCTCAGCAGCTCACCTCTATTGATCCGCAAAACATTAACAAAATCAGAGAACATATAATTCCCCATTCTCTTACATGGCACAATTTCAACTTTTAAGAAACAATCAAAATCAGAAAGTCTAGACCATGTAAATGAACTGGCCACTGAGAGAGTTCACGGAAGTCTGTCCAATGGAGTATCTTTCATTCAAAATTTCTTGTAATTAAACTACTAAAAAAATAATTCAAGTTGTTTGAGTGGGGTCTTCAAGAATAACTCCACTACTTTCCATTCAATACCTAATAAAATCATAAGGGTAAATAAGTATACCTTGGCAGCACCAGCATCGAGGCTGTTGAAAACCAACTCCTCAACAACCCTTGTGAAATCATACAAGATAACGCCCGACCGAATTGAGCTCCAAATATTCTCGGGCATTCGCTTAATGCTACCCATCTCCCTAAAAAAGTAAAAACAAATTCTTGAACATCCTTAACATACAAGAATGAGAACACAATTCTTATTAAAAAGAAATAGATATCTTGAATTTCCTTGATATTTACAATACCAATATATTGTTGAAAACAACAATTTCTTTGATTTCCTTGAATTTTTCTTAAAGGGAATACATGCAAGAATTCAAAGAAAATCTGACAAGCGAGTTCTCAAATTTTCCTTCTTTTTTTTTTTAGTAGGGAGAGCAGTAGTATTACTAGAGCAGATAGAACGACCGGAAAATTGAATCAGGGTTTAAGGTTTTGATCAGAAATCGTCAATACAAGAGAAACCCTGACCGAACTAAACTCCAAATAGCCTCTGGCATTCGCTTAATGCTTCCCGTCTCACTACTCAAATTCTTGAACATTGGCTGCAAGAATATTAACACATGCATTCAAGAATACCACTTTTACTTCAAAAATACAACAATTTCGTTTGATTTACTTAAAATATGAATCTAAGAATACCAATTTAACTTTAAAGAGACAACAATTTCCTTAAAATGTGCATTTTAAAAAGCCATTAAGTTCTTGTTTTTTTCTTAAATCAAAGAATGCCGAGATAATCAAGTTTTTGAATTTTCTTTCGAAGAATACCAAATAATGGGAAGAGCAAGTTACTTGGGCAGATTGATGGTGACGAAAATTGATTTTAGGGTTTAGGGGTTTTGGTCGGACATCGTCGCCGGGGAAGTTAATAGCAGCAATCCGGTGGAGTAGCGTACGAAGGTGGTGAGCGGTGAGCGGTGAGCGGTGAGCGGTGACTTCTTTTGCTTCTCTAATTTGACATCTAAATGAAGCAGCGACTATTTTATAGGCTCTGAAGGATGGTGGCTTCTAACTTACGCAGTGTCTACGTCTAACTTACGCAGTGTCTTTTTTTTTTTTTATAGTTTTTGAATGGGGTACTTCTAACTTACTCGGTGTCTCTTTTATGGTAGTATTTTATCGGTGAAAAATAAAAAAACGACTACACGCGGAAAACAACTACTACTTAATATAAAATATATATTATTTTTTTACAAATTTTAAGAATCACATTTAATATAAAATTACAATTTATACCTATTTAATTTCTAATACATTAATCCTGAAAAAGTAAAACAACTACTTAATATAAATATATTATTTTTTTATAATACAATTTTTATTCTAGTACTTACTCGTTACTTATTTATTTTTTATTTTTAAAATAAGAGGAATCTAATCTATTGATAATGTGAAATTATTATCATCGTATATAACTTCAAGTGTAAATTTCATATATGACATATATTATAGTACTATTTTCAAGCTATAATAGTAGATTTAGACTTTCAAGCTATAGCATTAAAAATTTCAGGTTATAACAAGTTTAAAAAAAAGAAATATTTTTGTTAATTGGAAAACACTTAAAAATAAATAAAAATATAAACGAAAATTTAAAAAAAAAACGGAATTAGAAATAATAAGTAAAAACTAAAATTGTGGGTTGTAATTTAATTTGAATTTATTGTAGATAATTAATGATTAGCATGAAATAAGGGATCCAAACTAATTAAGAATATTCAGTTCCCTTAATTCACTCTAATTTGTTAAAATTAATTCAAAAATCTGATTTTAAAAATCAATTTCCATTTATTTAATAAATGATTAATCTATTTATGGTTTTTTATTATTAATTAATAATATGTAATTAATAAGGAAAAAATGGGAAAAAAAAACGGAAATAGGAGTGTCAATTAAATTTGAATTAATTTAAGATAATTATTAATTAGCATGAATTAAGGAATCTCAAACTAATTAAGAATATTCAGTTTCCTTAATTCACTCTAATTTGTTAAAATTAATTCAAAAATATGATTTTATCCATTTTTCTTCCAC